GGAGACCCTATCGAGCATGTTCCCGCCGGCGGTTATTGCCTTGCGGCGCTCACTGAGAGCGGAAGTATTTACATCTGGGGTCGAAGATGTGCAGGACAAAGACAAAGTGGCCATTCGGCGTTTGCGGAACTTTGTGATATGCCTAACTACCTTGATGTAGATGGTGGCAAAGATGTACAGGATGTGGCCTTGGGGGATAGTCACGCCATTGCGCTGACGACTGATGGCACTGTTTATGTGATTGGTCGTAATGATAATGGCCAACTTGGCTTGAGACAGGGTGTGGACATGGTCGCAAAAACATGGACAAAGGTAAAGCTGGGTGTTCCAGATGACTGTCAAGTCGTAGGAGTAGCTGCTGGACCAAAATCATCATTTATTTTGACAGCACAGAAGACATAGGTAACCTCAATCAAGATATATCACACTGTACTTTCAATAAGACTTGCGTTGAGAGGGCTCATTGAGCATTTATGAACTTCTATTGTACACCAAACTTCACTTCATTACCCAGCCACGCTCACACATCATAGACTCGTCAGATAGTCCTCAATTTCCTGAGGGGTGAGCTTTCTGAATCGCGGGCCCGTTGCTCCCTCGACACCCTCGACTCCCAGCAAGTGGTCAGCAGGCGGGCCGACAATACCTACAGTTTCAGTTAGTGATCGTGCGAAATAGCCAATGCCTCATTGCGTGCAGAAAGCGACATACCAATCTCAATGGAATCACCGTTCATTTCTCCCTCAATGTTGTCCTTCAAGGTCAAAAGGGCAATGTGAATTGCATCCTCTAGTTCCAGCTCCTCAGAGTATCTCTTCTCCAGGAAGGTCTTAGCCTTGGTCGCGCTCTTACCAATAGCCGTAGCCTTCCAAGGAAAGTAACTACCCGTAGGATCGACCTGATACAACATAGGCCCGCCCTTTTGGATACCGCCAGTTTTGGATGTGGGCTTTTGCCCCTCACCTTCAGCAGCGGGAGTCTCATCGTCGGGTTCGATGCCATCATCCCAACCAGCAACTAGCATGCTCACACCGTAGGGTCGAACGCCAGCTGACTGCGTTGCTTCTTGCATAACTCTAGCAACATCCTGGACCAATATTCTGGTAGGAGGGTACTCGTTGTAAATTCGCTTGTAGCCAGTGTGAGAAACTTTGCGTGCTCGGTCAATCAGGACTCGGTAATCTGGGCCCATGCCAGAGTAGACGGCGCCGATGTTTGGTGTGATGTTGCTGATTTTGGACACGGAGCTTTGGTCGGCGAGAGGCGAGGACGACTTCTTTTCGGTGGCGAGAACGATGCCGTTGGTAGCTGGCAGAAATTAGATATTGGGAAGATGCATAGAAACATGGAAAGCTAGGTATGGAGTGGACAAACCTTTGATGCCAAGGGCGGTGATGCCTTGATTGACAGCGTTCAAAGCATATTCTACAGAGCATCAGGTTAATAATGTTGCGGATATCGCATTTTCGTCGTAGCTGTACTAGGGGGTCCTGATAAATGGCATAAGAGTTCCGTACCAATCTGCACCAGCTTTCCACTATACAGCAATAATTAGCTAAGCTCCAAGCACGTCGTCACCATCAAGTGACATCAAGACCATCTTGCCCCAACATACCTGGGAGAGAATGTTGTGAGGGAGAATGAATATCGGTCCGCCATAGCTACAAAGTCACCAAAGAAGGTTCGGCAAAGACTCTTGTGGTATCGGGTCTGGGGAGAGACGAATTGGAGGGTTAATGAGGTCGAAACAACTGCGACGGTCAAGCTTGGATGTTCCCGCCACAAGCAGCCTGGTGGACGGTCGCCCAGGCACGGGCGAAGCTGCGCGTCAGGCTGGCCTAGGAGCTTCCCAGCTCGGCGCATGGGTTTGGCCGACCTCCGAGGGTCCACTCGCTTCCTTGCCCGCCTCACGGATTCCGTCCGCAGAGGAATTCTCGCTAGAATTAATGCGGTGCTACGGTTCGATAGCCTTGTCCTCGTGTTCCATGATGAGGTGGCCTCAACGTCGGTCTGGAGGGTGACCGTCCTTAAAGCTGCATTGACCCGTGTAACAATCCTTGGCTCTTATTTTCTTTCCTTTTTTTCTTTTGGCCCTGAGATATCTATTCTGTATTGACTCCGTCTGCCCTTCAGTTTTGAAGGCAGACCATGAGGTCTGCATCGCTGTCATTTCGCCTAATAGGCTGATTTCACCAACCCGATTCAAATGCAATTGAGCCTCTACGACGCATCGGAAGTTGATTACCACCATAGTTTTAGCTTACAGTGCTTCTATGGATTCTGGATCGTTTGAAAACGCAGGCACCTCATGAGAGCGCCGGCGGTTGCCATACGCGTCCTCGCAGCCATCTGAACGAACCGAGACGTTCAAACGAGCAGAGCCTCGGCTAGCAGGCGAGAGCACTACCGCAAAGGAAGAAGCTCAAAACCCCCAAGCGAAACCAAAAGGCCGTCGTTATGGCCCACGGACCTGTCGAATTTGTCTAGACACTGAGCACCCCAAATTCCCTACGGATATCCCAAGGACATTTGGCGTGTCGACAAGGTCGTCACGGCCAGTGTATGAATCGGACGACCCTGAACTTGGCCGGCTCTTGTCACCTTGCAAGTGTAAGGGGTCGTCGAAATATGTCCATGAAGGATGTCTTGACGCATGGCGGTTGACGAACCCTACTGCCACGAGAAACTTCTGGCAATGCCCGACATGCAAGTTCACATATCGATTGGCTCGGCTGCATTGGGCCTCGAGGCTCAGCAGCAAATGGGCCCAGGTTTTCTTGACAATAGTGGTCCTTATTGTCAGCCTCTTTATCCTTGGGTTTATTGCAGATCCCATCATGGACTTGTGGTTTGATCCTGTGGGTTCTATTGCAGACACGGTATCGAGTGTCGTATCAGATTTGGATGCTGTGCGGCCGCCGGTGTATGAGGAGCCCAGCACATGGACCGAGCATTTCACCAAGGGCTTCTTCTCTCTAGGGCTTATTGGTGCCATCAAGTCCTTTGTTGCAATGGGTCCGTGGCACTGGATCAACTTCCGTGCTGGAGGGCTCTTTGGCTCCGGCAGACGCGGCGGCACTGGCAGGAGCAGGATGGACAACTTCAACCTGCTCTTTGTCGTCATCGGAGCATTCACGTTTATGATGGCAGTGTGGAGGTTTGTCAAGGCAATGAGTGCGCGAATTCTGACCAATGTCAGTAATAAAGTCATGGATGTCGGCGACGAAGATGACGAAGATGATGAAGCGATGCGGGACGGCGGTGATGCTGGTCCAAGCTAATGAAGAGAATAAGAAGAGACAGGTAGTCACAAGAACTGGCAGAAATACTAACGATGATCAACCCCAAATGCATTTCTTTTGAGTTCCAAGATATGCTTCCTGTTCATGTAGACCTTGCACACTCTTAAGTTGCCTCGACTTTTGCTCTTCCATGTCAAGTCAACTAGTCTGCGTGCAGATATTTAACGTCTAGCCGATACCTGGAGCCTGAGCCGTTTTGGCTTTGTGTGCTCGCCGGTACGGGTGTGACAGGTCGGTAACATCAACTTGATGCTCACGCACTGTTTTGGTGTGTGAAGCTACCTGGCGTCTGCTTGGTACAACATGTACAAAGCCGTGAGTAGATTGCCTTGCGCTACTGATACATTTTTCATCTTCGTCCGGCGACGTATAGCGAACCTTGCCCTACGAACTATGTATGTGATTCAACATCAACAGCCTGTCAGGGCTGGATGCGGCACGAGTCGCGTGTCAGCCTAGTAAATTTAAAGTTACCATGTATATTGTATGCCGATCGAATGCTCCAGCTATTAATTAGCCCGTGAATCAAGATGAGCCAATATTTGTATCAGGCGAATCGATAAATTGTGTCCATCAACCATTAATTGATGGCGGCTGGATGGAGAGCTGGATCCCTGGAGTCCATGCCCACCCCTGTCTGGCCCATGTTACCCGACCCTTACTCTGTTAGTATCTTTATTCCTAGCCAACACAGCAAACTCCTAATCATCAAAACTCCCATCAAACCTCACGACCACAACCCTCGGCCGATGGCTCACCTGCAGAGACCAGCCGCGCGCCCTTGACACTATATCCCTTTCCGACATCGACCTTTTCTTGGCAGCTTGCTATTTCCCGGAGGGGGTGTCTTTTCCCACCGTCTCATTTTAAGTTTGCATCAATCGACGACCCCCGAGACCTTGACCAGATTTTCCACAAGCAGTCGGGATAGCCATATCGTAGCCGCCCCAACACGAAGCGTGTTGCCACGAGGCGACTTCTCACGAGCACGGCCGAATGTTGTGAAGAAACAGCATTGAATCTGCGCACTCGGACTGTCTAGGGGACAAGATTGCGACGAAACAGATTAAGCCTTGTGTTTGCGAAAGGACAGGAGCTGGCCAACCATGCATCTTCCGTACCCCCCACGAAAGCGTTCAAACCCTCCGCCGTTTCGGCCCATGTCGTCAAAAATATCCTTGCTTAGACGAAGCAGATTAAAAAACGTTGCCATTGGAGCCTTGCTTTTCCTAGGCGCGCTCTACTTCCTCTTTGGGGGCAAAAAGCCCGATCCTTACCACGAGCATGTGCCCTCAGGCCATCCGTCTGTGGTGTTGGTGACGGTAATTGACCCCAGTGAATGGAACACTGCGTATTTGGACACGATTAAAGAGAATCGCGAGAGATATGCTGCAAGACATGGTGTGTTTAAAGCATTTCCCCAACGGGAAATAATACTAACCACCCAAAAGGCTACCAAGCAATGGTCGTCAACGCCCTAGACTACGATACGCAAGGAGCCCCACGATCATGGGCCAAAATATTCGCCATGCGTCACGCTCTTTCCAAGTATCCCGATTGCAAATTCATCTGGTACCTCGATCAAGATGCCTACATTATGGACCCAACCAAGAGCCTGGAGGACCAGGTTACGAGGCCCAGCAAGCTGGAGAGTCTCATGATTAAGGATTACCCTGTTGTACCGCCTGACAGCATCATCAAGACATTCTCGCACTTGCGTGGCGAAAGCATTGACTTGATCGTAACCCAGGATAAAGAAGGTCTTGTGCACAAGAGTGTTGTTATTCGCAACGGAGAATTCGCAAAGTTCTTTGTCGAGACGTGGTTCGATCCTCTATATAGGTCTTACAATTTCCAAAAAGCCGAGAGACATGCATTGGTACGAGTCCATCTTTTCATCTCCCACGCATCTCGATGCAGTATTGACTTGAAATGTTGCAGGAACATATCGTCCAATGGCACCCAACCATACTTTCCAAACTGGCCCTCGTCCCCCAACGAACACTCGCGTCTTACTCGAAATCCACCGTCGGCGAGCAATATCAAGAAGGCGACTTTGTCGTGCTCTTCCCGGATTGTACCCAGACGGGGGAGGAGAGCTGCCAGACCGAGTCGTCACGCTACTGGGAGAAGATGAAGAAGGCATTTGGTATAGCATGAGTGGGCATGGACAGGAATGGGATTAAAATGCAGTGCGTCGTGATTCGGGGCGTTTATGGACCAATATCACTTTTTTTTCTCTCTCTTTACTCTTTTTTTTCTAAGCTTGAGTTTGGCGTTGCCGGTTTGAATAGACTCGATATGAGCGATGAGGGGGAAGTAGAGATGGTGGACGGTGGGGAGGAAACATGTATGATTTGAGTGACATGGCTAGGGATAATTTTGCCTGTTATATTATTGTTTCATGATAAGGCATGTTGGAGTATGTTTCAGAGATGGGGATTGAATTGCAGAAAGATTGAATTGGGTTTACGATTGTCGGCGTGAGGCGCCACCATCGTAAGGACTTGGCCGATTGGCAGGTGTGCCCGCGGGTCAAGGGAATGTGAGAGGATGATGAATCGATATTTTTATCTTACTATTATGAAGCGTCCAGAAGTCTCCTACCCACCCCGTGTTGGTGGTGTCGGCACGACGGAGGGGATAACATGGCGCTAATAGCACGATGGAACGTCAAGTGGCCCAAGTCGGGGGCCGCGGAGGTCGAATGGTCGACTTATCCCGGTTGGCAGCGCCGGGCCATAGACTCCAGATGTCGAGCGGATGTGACCACCACCGAGGTCCAGACAATCAACATCTTTATGCTAACTTATGAGTGTTGGTGTCCCACGCTCGATCTTCACAAGTCCCCACCATACACAACAACCTGTCAACCTGGCACACACCCATCACTCGACACGGTGACCCTTGATTCGTCTTGGTCTACAAGTATCAGGGACAGCAGTCAGTTTTCGCCGTAACACAGCTGGTGTTATACGAACAGCAGGGGAGGGAATCGACAGGACAAAAATCAAGGACACTCTGCTCGGGTCTCCATATCAGCTTTCCATCGTGTCTATGTACCTTGCATTCTTAAGTATGCAGCCATAAAGGAATCCCAACGTAATGATAGATGATCATTGCGGCAGGCTACACGCTCACCAACACTTCCTACCTTTTATGTGACGAATAGTGTTCGATCCACAATGGACATCGCTTCCTTTAGCATGATGCGTGAACCAGTCATCTATATAGCGGACCGTATACTTGGCCTCTACGTAGGCCCAATATATCTTGGCCGTCGATACCAGGTCCTTACGGGTTCCTTCCTGCCTGCGTGCTTGCCGCGGGGATCATCACGCAGTAGCTGGATCAGAAACTCGGATGAGAAGGCTCAAGGTTTTCTTATACCACGAGCAAAGCGATTTCTCCGCATCTCCCCGATTATGCGTGCGCAAAAGCCGCCACACTCTCCATGTGCATCAATACCGCTACTTGTAGTTGTGATAGTTACCATTAGCACCTCGGTTATAAGTCGTGTGTGATGCAACTGCAGCTTGTTAACGGCGCCGACTATTTGGTACACAGCGTTGGAGGTTCAATGTTATCCCTTGTCGGATCTCGACCGAAAATGGATAATATGGGCCACGTTTCGTCAAGAGGAAAGACGGATCTGGTGGGCGATGATAATTGTTTGCGAATGAGGAGGTCAAGTCCATGACGGGATTCCCAGCCCTGATTGGCCAGGCACGGGGCGGGCATACGACCTTTTGTCTCTTCGTTCCTTTGTCAAGATCAAGTGGCTCAAAATCGCTATTTAAATTGGCTGCAGACAAGAGTCAGCGGGATGGCCCCACTAAAAAATGCTCAAGTATGTACAGTACTCCGTACCTAGACCTAGTATGTACAGGCCATCCCCCACCTCTGTTGTTGAGGTGTCCGACTGGTGCTCTTGCGCCGAGGTCTAAGCTGGCTCTAGCCTCCGACTGGTGCTTTTGTCGTGCGCTGGCTGGGCAAGCAGAGCAAGAGCAGTCGAGATGCGCTTGCTTGCTGTTTCGCTGCTGATAGCCCAGCCCAGTGTCAAGCAAGCAAGTACCTAGGTACCTAGGAAGTCGCTTCCTTCGTACGTACTTGCCGCTTGTAGCTGGGAGCTCTCACCAGCGCCAAACGCCCACGACCATCCAAGTCGGACTACAAAACCGACCACGTCAAACCCTCACTCTCTTTTACTTTCCCCAGCCCACCGTCCTTTTGCGCTGCGATAGCTTCCTCGGTGGCATTCCCTGTTCCTTGTCCTTCGTTTTACATTTGTGTCTGGGGCATTTGGGACACAAACAGTAACGTGGGGGGCCATTCTCTTGTCTTGTTCTCGTCTTGTTCACCCGCTGTCATCAGCTTCGTTGCCACTGTCCTCATTGGACCGACGCCACCATGCCTGGAAGCTCTCGAATGCCCGTCAGTCTCCTCGGCGGCTTTGAAAAGGTCAAGCGCCGAGGACCCGCCAACCCTCTCGATTTTGTCACCGTCGACTTGTATGTGATATTCCCATGGCCTCTGTTGTAACTTTTTGTTTGTGGTTTCTTCCTGGTGAAACCTGTGCTGTTCACCCTGCTATCCAGCTCTCCTTCCGATGTGGTGCTTCTTTGTGCATGTCGGTCATGAGCTGGCTGAGGCGCATTGGCGCATTCTATGTTGGCTCTATACTGCCAATGGCCAATTGGTCGTGACGTCTAGCATCGCTCCAATTGGCGTCCCTCACCTCCCGTTTTCTTCACACACCACACCGAGAAAACAACCTTCTCACCGCATGCTCATCGGATTTCTTGGCTGACGCCTCATGTTTGTTGTTGCTGCTAGGCTCCGGAATATCGTCTTCTACTACTTTGTCCTCCGATGGACCCGACGTGCTTTCTGGAAGCTCAAGGGTCGAGGCCTGATCGGCGCCATCCTCGAGTTGTACCATGTAATCCACCGCACATTATACGGTTATTTTCTTCGCGCCCCTGGTGTGCGTGGCAAGGTCCAGAAACAGGTCAACGAGTCCATTGCTCAAATGTCGTCCAAACTCATTGCACAGACTGATACCCGGTACTTGACCCTTCCCAAGGAGGGCTTGACCGCAGATACTGTGCGTGCGGAACTTGAGATGCTGGCCAACCTCGACCACACCCGCTGGGAGGATGGATTCGTCTCCGGAGCCGTCTACCACGGCGAGGAAAACCTCATCGGCCTGCAGACCGAGGCCTTTGGCAAGTTTACCGTTGCCAACCCCATCCACCCGGATGTCTTTCCGGGTGTGCGCAAGATGGAAGCCGAAGTAGTCAGCATGGTGCTCAACATGTTTCATGCCCCTCCTGGAGCTGCTGGCGTTTCGACTGCTGGCGGAACTGAGAGCATCTTGATGGCTTGTTTGAGCGCTCGCCAAAAGGCGTATGCCGAGCGCGGAGTTACGGAACCTGAAATGTATGTCTCAACGTTTTTGAACAAGGATGTGGCAAGTTGTCGTACCTATGTTGTGCATATTAACCGTGGCAGAACGTGGCAAACGGCTAACCATTGTCTTGGCAACAAACAACAGGATTCTCCCTTACACTGCACACACTGCCTTCCGCAAAGCCGGTGATTACTTTGGTATCAAGATCCACCTCGTCGACTGTCCTGCGCCCAGCTATCAGGTCGATGTCAAGAGAGTGGCGCGTCTGGTCAACCCCAACACGGTTCTGCTGGTCGGTTCTGCTCCCAACTTCCCTCACGGCATTATCGACGACATCACGGCCTTGTCCAGACTGGCTGTCCGCAAGAAGCTGCCCCTCCACGTCGACTGCTGCCTAGGGTCATTTCTCGTGCCGTATCTCGAAAAGGCCGGCTTCGAATCAGAGCTTTTCGATTTCCGTCTCAAAGGTGTTACCAGTATCAGTTGCGACACCCACAAGTACGGCTTTGCCCCCAAGGGTAATTCGACCGTGTTGTACCGCACGGCGGAGCTACGCCAGTACCAGTACTATGTCTGCCCTGACTGGTCCGGAGGCGTTTACGCATCTCCCGGTATTGCTGGATCGCGCCCTGGTGCATTGATCGCCGGCTGCTGGGCGAGCTTGTTGACTGTAGGCGAGGCCGGCTATGTGGATGCTTGTGTAAAGATTGTCGGTGCCGCCAAGAAGATCACAGAGGCCATTCAAAGTTCTGGAACGCTCAACGGCGAGCTCGAGATTATTGGTAAGCCCCTCGTTTCCGTGGTCGCTTTCACCGCCCTCAACCTCGACATTTACGACGTTGCCGATGGCATGTCGAGCAAGGGATGGCATCTCAATGCGCTGCAGAATCCTCCGGCGATTCACGTGGCTGTAACCATGCCTATTGCCAAGGTGTGGGAGCGTCTGGTTAGCGACCTGGAGACCGTTATCGAGGAGGAACGCGAGAAGGAGAGAGTGCGTCAGGTGGAGGGTAAGGGGGCCAAGGGCAAAGCCATGGGCAATTCGGCTGCCCTGTACGGTGTAGCTGGCTCTCTGCCAAATAAGAGTGTTGTCGTAGATCTGGCAAAGGGTTTCCTGGATATTTTGTACAAGGCATAAATAAGAGATTGGCAGCAGTTGGGGTTCCAAGGGTGAATATAGGAGGCGAACTGTGTAAGCAAAAGGGAGCCTGATTTGCGGCGGAAGTTTTTTTTTTTTTTCTCTACCCTTTTTGTGTTGTTGTGTGGGTGTGTTTTTCTTTTATGAAGGTATCCTTGGCAGCATTCATAGCATTATTGAAGCATGAATAAAAAGCCTACAAGTCACGGCAGTCGAGTTTATCTCCAAATCAGGACATGAGTGGGAAGATGGAGATATCCGTCGTCTTCCATCATGGCACGGGTCTCGAATGCACAACAGAGCCTCAGTAAAATGATTCCAGGGTCCTCGAGAATGGAATCGAGGTTCTTTCCCATGTTGTTGTCTCGCCGTGGGACGCGCCAGCCAGTAAAGCAATCTAGATTGCGCTGACGCGGGCAAAACGGCTACAGCCTCACTTTGGACTGTCCGATGACGAAGAGCGCATTTCAGACGGCCAGCACCACCACACCACCCATTTCTTACTCGTCCATGGCCCATTCATGGTCAGTCGGTCGGTCGGGCAGCGCTCTGTTGTTCATTTGGCCTCTTTTTTTTTTCTTTTCTTTTTTTTTTTTTCCCCTTCCACAGCCCAAGTCGGTGACCAAGTGCGATGCCGAGAAGGGGGGGGAGGGGGCCTCCAAGAAGGGAGGAAGAAAAAGGCCGGGGGGGAGAAGGGGGGGTTCCCCGCGGCCGCGGAATACAAAGAAAAAAGGCAGAAATGAGGCGGGTGGTGCAGAAGAAGGCGTGGCGAGGTCCGCATAGGCCGTGTCATATGCAGGGCTTCCCAAGCAAGAAATCCTGTCGTGCTGCCACTGAAATGCCTCTTTTTGGCTTTGCCTTTTCTTTTGCGGTGATGCCCAAGGATACATACATGCGTACATGCATGCCTTTTTTTGCCACGGGGATGATGTGTAGTGTCGGGTCTGGTGGTTTGGTGCTATGCTGCCTGTTTATTATTCATTTATTTTTAATTCTTTTTTTTCTTTTTCTCTTTTTTCTTTTCTTCTTTTTATAAATCTGGGGTTTGTCGGCATCATGATGCGAAATGGCTGTTTGCATTTTCCGAGGAGGGTGGGAATTTTGGAGGGGAGGAACCAATTGCGTCTGGAGGCGGCGAGATACAATTACTCGGCGCGTTCATGGTTGAAACTGGGGGTTTGGTGATGTGAGCATTTGTCAAGGTTCAAGGGTCTTACAGGTGGCCTGGCCGCTTTTTTGCGGAGGAGCAACTGGCATCTCTGGCTGCTTGGACTTGGGACTTGTATGTATGGCATGTGGCATGTGCGTGCGAGTTGCCTCTGCGGCCTACTTTTTTTTTTTTTTTTTTCTGGTTTTCTTTGCCCGCTCCCCCAGCGGTATCACGCTGGCGGCGGCGAAATAATAGGGTGATTTTTTTTTTTTTTTTGTGTGCAAAAAGGTATAACTTCCCTTGTTGCTTCTCTTCCCCGGGCCGGGGGGAGGGGGATGGGTGGGACAAGGCGTACCTTTTTTGTGGGTTTGAAATCTCGTTTTTCCAGCTGCTGTGTGAGTTTAAAATATTCGAGATGTTATGTCGTAGCACGAGGGATTTGGGGGGGGGCACAAAGGTAACAGGTCAGGTAACAGATCGACAGGATGCATATACGTGCATGAGGGGGCAGGATAGTCGGGAGGTTCTGCCGTGCGCATGTGGCGAGAAGAGAGAGTGAGAGAGTCTGGAGGTGGTAGGACGTTGTCAACATGGCCGGAAGGGGCCGCGTGGCTTGATTGGATGCCGCGAGGCCAGAGCTGCTCGACACTTTCGGTCAGTCTTGTTGGAATGGGCCGTTGACGTCTGGATTCAATCTTCTTCTTTATCGTGGGTGGGCGTGACGACAAGACGGCCAGTGCTTGGGCAAAGGCGGAAAGGGGGTGGACGGATAGACTGGGGTTGAATGGGTAGCTAAATGGGCTGCATCGTCGGGTTTTCAGTCCATTCTTTTGTTGATGCCAGTTGTTGGTGTAAGTTGGGTTATGAAGCATATAATAATTGCCCGCTCCGTCGTGAGTCAACAGGTCAACTGGTCCCCTTCATCATCATCACCGCTGCTGTGAATTGGTGATATTGACGCCTTTTGTTTTTGAACTCGTATAAACCACCATCTCGTTCCTGCTTGCGCTCTCCCCGCCCACCCTTTTCACCTCTGTCTTCTTCTTCCATCTTATCTTGTCCCCTCCTCCATCACAATGGCCGCAGCAGGCCCTGCCATGGAGCCGCCGTCCTGCGTTGGGCTCGGCCTGAACCTGGCTCAGGACGCAGATATATCGCACTTTTCTCTGCGGCCAGAAACAAAGCCAGCGGCCCTCAGGAACCGCTTCCAAGCTACCGTGGATGACGACGACTCAGATCAAGACACCGTCGTCGCATCATCACCAGCCCGCAACAAGGCTGCAGACAGTGTCTCCTCGTCCTCGTCCTCATCCTCGTCAAGGACGTCGACACAGAGGCCCCATGGCGATTGTTCAGACCACTACCAGCCTGCCTCGCCAACACCCGCCAGCCGACATGGCAAGCCTTGTTCTCCTCCTTCTCCTTCTCCTTCTCCTTCTCCTTCTCCTTCTCCTTCTCCTTCTCCTTCTCCTTCTCCTTCTCCTTCTCCTTCTCCTTCTCCTTCTCCTTCTCCTTCGTCTCCATATTCCCATGCAAACACAAGCACAAGCACATCAAAGTCGCACACTCCGTCCTCTTCAACGGCATACGTGACCCCCCATGCAACAACACTTACACCACCCTCGTCTGCCGAGTCCAGCCCCAAGCAACGGCCTACCGTGCACTTTTCCACCAGACCCCCCGTCGTGCTGCACCACAGATCAAACAGCTATCCGGCAGCCGCGGAGCCGCCTTCGCCGCGATATACCACGTCGTCACGCGGCGACGGCGGACCACACATGTCCGTGGTGGACAGACAATGGGGTCAACTGTTTACCGAACACGGCGAGCCAACCAGGAGACTGGCTTCTGTGCTACGCGGGTTGGCAAACTACATGGTAAGGAAACAACAACATGCTCTGGGCGAAGCTTGCTTCTCATGAGTCTGATGAGTCCAGGTCCGGGAATACGAACCACGTGGTTCGCTCGTCATCCCTCCCGTCAAGATGTTTGCCTTGTACAGGAGATATAAACTTGACAAGGAGCAATTCCCCTTCCAAGGTCCGTCTTTTCCCTGAAATAACAAGAACACAATCCTGATGATTATACCCAGGAATATTCGACTACCAATCCCGTCACTGCCTTCGCAGCCTGGAACTCCTCTACCAAGACCTCTCTTGCGAATACCACCTCATCCAGGACCACCACTCCACGCGTCCCTACATCCCTGCCCTTACACCCGTCGGCCTGCAGACCTGGCTGACGGCCTTCATCCAAGCCGCGCCAGACTCCGAGTCCTACCGCCTCCAGAGCATCCTCATGGACATCCCCCTCGAGGCAGACCACCAGGGCTCAGCCCCAGCAGAGCGCCTACCAAAACAGCTATCCCGGCACTTGTTCCCCGCCCACAGAAACGACCGCACATACAGAGACATTGTCTGCGCTCTAGACGACTGGAGTAAACGCATGGGGAGCTCATCCGAATCCCCCTCCCCCTCATGGAGCAACCTCATCTTCGAAGCATTCCGGGGCGCCTCACACATGAGTTCCAGCCCAGCAGGCATGGGACGCCGAGAGAGGCCCTACCACACAGATGACTACAAGCGGCACATCAGCCGCAAGTCGCCACCGGAAGATGTTACCATATCCCCCGCAAACACCTCCCGCCGCAGACAGAAGAGCACCTCCACCGCCAGTCGCACGCCACAGGAGGCCAAGTACTACTACTCCTCCGCCTCCTCTTCTCCTTCTTCCTCCGCCTCCCAGCGCGAGAAGGTGTATAACCCTGAGCCCCGGTACTTTCCTAGCTCGCACAGCGAACCCTCTAGGCGCAGATACTCGGAGCCGTCGCCCGAGCGCATCAAGTACGATAGACACACGAGCAGACGGCGCGACAAGAGTCCCAAGGCTGCAAGGGCCGCATCAATCGACAGCGAGAGGAGATGTAGACACCCTCCACGAAGCTATTCCGGTTCTTCGTATTCAAGGGGGCAAGAGGACGTAGACAGGGGCCGAATGGCGCCGGATTCGAGCAGCCGGACATCTGATGCGTCGCCTGGGAGAGTGGACAGCTACCGCTTCTTTCAGGGGAGGCAACTAGGGCCGACATATGATGAGTTCTTGAGAGGAAAGGGGAGAGGGTGAGACACAGCAGAGGGTGATAGCCGCGTTGGACTGGCAGATTGTGTGGCTGTGTGATATAACGAGGAAAGTTGTTGCAACAATGTACTAGGATGACTAACTCATGACTTTTGTGTAAATTGGGAAAAGGGGGACTGATGACACATGACGACCACGGGTTGGTTTCCATATCATGACGGGAAAGGAATTGATATCTTGACGACAACAGTCGAGAACTATTAGAGGTATCAGAATGTATACCATGTATGAATTCAGATAAAAAAAAAACAAAATAAAATTCAAAGTCGGATTGAATCCTTCGTCTGCCTGCTATGCATGGTATCACTCAAAAGAAGAAGCCGTTGTTTGACACTCGTAGCAAACATTCGGTCAAAAAGAAAAAGAAAACAATCTTTGCGCCGCCCCCCATCAAACATCTCTGTAGAACATGTGCGTCTGAAGAGGTAGACATGGGAATGAAGGGGGTAAAAAAAAAGAAGAAAAGCCAATTTCAGGAAAAGAACAAGTCCAGGCTATGCATATAACATCTCGTTCCGCATAAAAGTTCAAATAGTGGAGGGCCAATCGTCAATTAGGATCCCGAGCTCGTCGTCCAACCATACAACTCGTGTAGGAACATCAAACTCGTACAGCCGTCTAGTCGTCGTCGTAGTCGTTATAAAAGCATTTTGATGAAGTAAGGGCAGTTGCTGTCAAGATTCCCACGATGGGGTATTATCGTAACGGCGCCCCCATTCGAGGGGGGTCAAAGCCCCGAACGCTGGCCATGCTGGCCCGATGCGCTCGTTTTCGTTTCAGGGCTTGGTAATCGTCTTTAAACGTGGCAATACACCGCTGAAGTTCTTTATCAGGATGCGGTGGCATCTGTATCTCGACTGCTTTCAGGCATATCCTCAGATGCTGCAGCTCACCGTCATTTTCTTGGAGCTCCTCCTCTCTGGTTCTCATCTCAGCAAAATGCTGCCAGGCCGCGTCATAAGGCTATATACGTACAGGTAGGAAATGCGGTTCTGCAAAAAAATGATGCGCTGGGCCGCTCGTTCTGCCCGTTCAATGAGAAGTCCTTGAATGTGCTGAAGCCAGTGTTAGCTCAGAACAGTTTGAGGAGATGGAATGGGTGCGGCCAAGGAAACAACTCACCTCGGACTCCTCTTGCCGAGCCCTAAGATTGTTCACCACCGTCGATAGTTCCTCATTCAGCTTGCTCATCTCTGCAATAACCTTCTTCGCCTGTGTCCCCGTCATGCCCTTCTTTGACGGAGCCTCATCCTCGGGTTCCTTGTCGGCCTCGCGCTCTCTATGCAGCGATGCGGACAAGTCAGAAAAGCGCGATCTGAAAAGAGAAGAAACGGGTGACCCCAGCACAGAGCCGACGTCACTTCGTCCCGGGCTATCAAAGCTTGCTTGGTATTGAAGCCTTTTAGGCTCAGCACTCCTAGCGCCGCCAACGACCTTTTCAAGCTGCTCGAGTTGGCTTCCAACCATGTTCTCATCAACATCATCGGATCCGTCATAAGTAAGCCGCCGGGCCAGGTGGCTAAGTCGCCTCGCTAGATCGTGCCTCGCTGCGCGAGACGTCACGGCGTCAATGCCTTCAGGCAGCATCGTGTGCATCTGAGATAGGTCACGTCTGAGCGGACTGATGCTACCCCTTGGATTGGAAAAGGCCATACCAGAGGCAGCACTAGGGCTAGTCCGCCGCGGTGGAGTGTAAACTCCTCGGTCAACAAGTTCGTCTATGCCGTCATGCGTTCTGCTCAACGGCCGGGGAGAAGAATGTTGACTAGTCCTGTAACTTTGACTTGTATGACTTTTGCAGCTGCATTGGCTACAAACACCATTTTCACTGCTCCCGCTGTTGCTGCCTATGCTTCGGCGATCCAGCGCCGGACTGGTTGGCGATGGCTCGTGTCGCTCTGCGTGACCCATGTTGATCTTGTGAATTTTCTGAGTTGAGGCCGTTGGGCTGTCTGATGGGCGCGCAGCCGGAAGAAAGCGCAAAGGAACAACTATATCGAGGCTCAACCTCTTTCGCAGTGGCCGTGCTATCCGCGGCCAGCGGCACAACAGGGGACACGTCCAGCCTACCCAGACATCTAGCCAAGTGAATCTTACACTCGACTACCGACACCGATTGCAAAAGCCAAGGACCACGTCGGAGGAGAAAAATTCTGGTCTTCTGTGCCTGGGAAGCCAACAATTGCTCACCGACCTTCGCGAACAAGCAAGGTCCAGGGGGCAGGTACTAGATTTGGCACTAGCGCCCAGAGCGGATTCTGAGGAAGGACAAGTCGGCCAAGGTTGGCCACGCACACAGGCGGCGAGCACGTCGTTCAAGCCCGCTTCTTGGACCTGGGGCCGAGATGGGGCGGCCGACGGAAGCTAGCAGTCGGCTGCTAACGTGTTCAAGGCTGATCTGGGATTGAACTCGGGCTGGGGAACGTCTTGCACAAGCCCTCTTTCGCACCAGGTCCGAGCACTTCCGATGGACCGAGATGGGCTCGCGGGGGTGAAGGAGATTCGAGCTGGCGGCTCACGGCCGTCACGTCTGTCGCGTCTGTCTCTGGCAGATGTGAAGAACCAGCATCCCAGACTGCCCACATGCAACAAGACGAGCCATACAGAGCTCGCAGTCAAAGGTGTCAAAGGTGCTTGTGTGTTGTGTGCGTGTGTGTCGGCCGGGTTGGGGGAACTAGGGGGTTTGGGGTTTGGGGGTGAGTGGATGATGGATGATGCTCGGCTGTTGTCAACTGGCGTGAAGAGAAGCGGTCGAGCTGCGGCCAGGGGTAAGTCACTCGACGACCAAGCACGACTCGGTAGAAGAGGAAATGGCGTGGCGCTGATTGGCCAGACTCTGGTCTTGTTCCTTTGACAAAGTCCATGATGCAGAGCCGACATGCAGTCCAAGGTACAGCATCATAACCTTGGAAGCAAGTGAATTATCTGCACAACTAACCGGCATGAATCAAGAGCTGCATCATCCTCACTGCCGCATTCAAGTGCCTGTCCGCCGACAGTGGTCTGGCAGCCATGCGTGTGCCCATGACTTACTTGCGATGTGTTTTCGATGTATACAAATAAGTACGGCAAACCTGTCTTAATCAACATGCGGTATCAACATAATATGGTATCATGCTTTCCCGAGATCCAGGGTGGTTGACCTCAATCATGTCATTGTCCGCGAACCATACGGCCTTGGCATGTCGACATGTTCAATCTGCAAGCATATAAAGTAGCATTGCACACTACAGGGTATCCGGTAGAGTCGGACATGCTATATTGTCGTTCGCTTCCTGCTCAAGTACGTACTTAAGTACACTGCAATATCCAGAGCCGAGTAGTACCTGTCTAAAGTATTCACAAGAAAGAAAACAACGCAATATGCACCATGCTGCAACATGTCTGTCTGCAGCTTGGTACATGGCATGGATGTCATGGCCATCCAGCTCCGCGGTTTGCGCAGTCCCTGCTAAGCGCCGCGGTATTTTTGCAGATTTCAATTATCCTCAATCAATCAAAACATGATTATTTTAATTAAAAAAAACTTTCTTTTATAATTTTTTTTATTGATTGTGGCACCACGTTGCGTCCACGCCGAGTCTGGACGGGTGGCATGTTTGACTGTCGAGTGTCAAACGTCGAGGTTGCTCCGTCGTCTACGGAGTACTTCGACAGCACATGCAGATTAGCCGCCCCTCCTTCCCTCCGTTGGGCCGTGCTTGCCCTACCCGACGATTTGAATGTGCTCAGGCGCTCCTTCCAGAGGGAACGCACAAAGCAGGGCTGCATGACGGGCAAAAGACGCCAGGCCTATTCGTTGCATCGCCTCCTCCCGTGTCCGTGTCTGATCCGTGTCCCCCGTTCCCCGTCCAAAACCCCAAGCTTGCATATCCCATTGCCGACCGACGCCCGTCTAGCCCACGCGACACTCTTCTACGTTGACACCTTCGACTTGCCACCAGTGCCAGCGCTTCGACTAGAAAACCCATCCCGCTTGCCGCCCCCCTTTTCTTCTCCTCGCTCCTCTTCATCTTAATCTGTCCTGTCTGTTCTTTGCGGCGGCTTGCACTCTCCATATTGACGCTTGTCTTCGCCTCTGCCGATTCTCCAGACCTTGGCTGGGCCTCGGCTGTCACTTGTAGCTCCCGCGGGGCCCAATTGTTGCTGCTTTGACTCAGAGCCGCCCCGCCATCTTCCGACGTCGCGACTGACGGCATCAATGACAATCTTTTGTTTGGCAGACCTTTGTGCGACCGCATCACCTGCTTCAATCTTCACTCTGCGCCTTGTTTCCTTTTCGAACCCTTTCGAGACTGAACTATAGAGACATTGTTATAAGTCGCTTCCCGCTGCTCCGACCCCGTCTCTGTCTCTCGGCCCACCACCACCATGTCGTGGAAGTCGTCAGAGAGGCTGATGGACACCATCCGGCATTATGCCAAGTTTCCCGCCACGGGCGTGAGCTTGCGCCAGATGGTGCAGTTTGGTGACAAGCCATCCACAGGTATGCTGCTCTCCCCAATTGACCTGTAAACTCCCCCTTACCAGGCAGACCAAGTTGACATTCTCGCGACATAGGCACCTTATTCCGCGCCTCACAATTCTTGGCCGAAGAGTTGCCAATCCGCCTTGCGCATCGTGTCCAGGAACTGGATGACCTGCCCGATGGATTAAATGAGATGCCGTCTGTCATGAAGGTCAAAGATTGGTACGCTCAGTCGTTTGAGGTAGGTTTCCCAACACACATTGCACCCCAGAATATCCGTTGATCCGTGGTACGTCAAACAGGAAATCACACAGCTTCCTCGGCCAAATCTGAGCAAAGACATTCGCGATCGTCTCATGAAGCCTACCAAGGGCAACGGGCGCCAAATTCAACGACTCTCCGAAGCCACTCCCAATCCCTCCATCGACGAAGGAGACTCTTCTGGCTGGGGCGGGCTAACAAATTCCAACAATGGCAACGGCAAGGCAAAGTCGCTTTCAAGAAGATATTTCGCCACTGTTGATGACACGGGTGATTGGCCTGCTGACCTTCAGCTTTACAATCAAAAATTTGCCCAAACCCTTCACACAATAAAGCGGAGACACGATGGAGTTGTCACCACAATGGCTCAAGGCATCTTGGAGTACAAGCGCCGACGTCAGCGAATGCAAATTGATGGTACCATACAATCATTCCTCGACAGATTTTACATGTCGCGTATCGGAATCAGAATGCTCATCGGGCAACACATTGCTCTCACCGATCAAAGTCACCACCGCGATCCAACCTATGTCGGTGTGATTTGCACAAAGACCAACGTTAAAGACCTCGCGCAAGAGGCCATCGAGAACGCACGATTTGTTTGCGAGGACCATTACGGCCTGTTTGAGGCTCCTCGTATCCAGCTGGTCTGCAACCCCAATCTGGATTTCATGTATGTCCCTGGACACTTGTCACACATGCTCTTCGAAACTCTCAAAAATTCCCTTCGTGCAGTGGTTGAGACGCACGGGATGGACAAGCAGGAGTTTCCCATTACCAAGGTCATTGTGGCCGAGGGCAAAGAAGACATTACCATCAAGATCTCTGACGAAGGTGGTGGCATACCACGAAGCGCCATTCCCTTGGTCTGGACCTACATGTATACAACTGTCGACCGTACGCCCAACCTGGACCCAGATTTCGACAAGAGCGACTTCAAAGCTCCCATGGCTGGCTTCGGCTACGGTCTACCTATTTCAAGACTGTACGCAAGATACTTTGGCGGCGACTTGAAGTTGATTAGCATGGAGGGGTAAGAACATAACCAAATCCTGCACAGTTAGGGCTCAGTAAGACTGACTTGGATTCTGCAGCTATGGAACAGATGTGTATCTTCATTTGAACCGTCTATCGTCATCTTCGGAGCCGCTACAGTAGCAATTAGGCACCGCCGGGGCTTCATCTCCATCTCTAATCTTGCGCAAACGCCTCAAGGATCGCCGAGAGGTTACGGAGCGAAGACAAGTGGGCGATGCCGAGGCGGTGGTAAATGCACCTCCCACGGAACTATTCGACAAACGGGAAGACCGCGAAGTGTAAACGTGATTTGCAGTTCGAAAACATACACTACAGACTAGAACCTACGCCATCTACATCATTTCTTGCATTTATCCTGTTCTTATACATACTCCTCGGCGCGCTGTGGGGCGTATGGTGCCGTGTCTTGGGCGGGGGGACTTTCACAGATCAAATTTACTTCTTCTTTGCTACTGGATTCGGGTGGCACTTCATCATTTTTGGCAACGTTGAAGAGGGATGAGTATTTCTTGGATTTCGCATGGTGGGCGGCATGGTACTGCTTGAATGGCCAGGAGCAAAAAGGAGATATTTTTGGACGATGACCAAGCGAAAGAAGAATAAGTGAGCAACTGCCGGGGTGCAGGCAGCATGGCGAGGATTGGCTGGGGCAGTCAATCTTTCTTTTGTGTCCTCAAGGAGGAGGCGCAAATTTGTACGAGAAGAGTGAATTTTTAACTGTGTTGACGGCATAGGGATGCCTATGAGCTATCTATTTTCAGCTACCTTGTTGACTTGTTTGGATCAAATGACACTCGTGTCTCGTCCTAGCCCCGAGAGCTATTCTGTTGATCCTTGCCAACGCCATGCCTGCCCACTGTTGTTACTATTGATCGCGAACTTCACAACAGCTCTGTACCTCCTTCCATGGTAACTAGTTCAACCCATCCAAGATCAAAACCAAACCACACCAGAAGTTGTCAAACACTAGAAGGGGCCCGATGGATATGAGAAAGCCACCCATGAAGCATAGACTCAATATCTAGAATCTTCTGAATCGCAGTAGTTCATGCGCTTCTGACGATCAATTTTGGTGTCAATAGGCTGGGCAGATATGTGGCTTATGTCAAACCATGGACGCGATTCAAGCTAGCGACATAATGTCAGTATGATGAGAAATAAAACAAGGTTTCCATACTGATCTGGGTTCTAATTACCCTTGGGGCTGTGTGCCATTTGTTCCTTGACTTGGGCCGGCCCTTCTTTGTAGCTGGAACACTTTCCCACTGCCCTGATGCAATTGGGTCCTGAGCCGAGAGGTTGCTTGCGGTTGATGTCGTGTCGCCCTCCGAAGCAGTATGAGACTTGATGGCTTCATGGAGCTTACCGGCATTATCCCAGGCGTTGTATGGAACGCGCGTTTTGGCATGCCCAGTGTCCTGCTCGTTCCGCATGGTCGTTGCTGTGGAAACGATGCTGGCATCCGAGCCCTGCCAGCTTGCAGCAGGAACCGCATATTGGAACAAGGCAGTACGAGATGCCAAGTTGGCTATTTTACCTCGAAGATGCGGTGGTAGCTGGCCATGTAAACTTGACGGTGTTGTTTGCCCAGCATCACTTCCCTCCATCTCAGAACCCACTTCAGATCCAACAACTGAAGGAATTTGATTCTCAGTTGGCCGGCCATGGATGTAGACAGGCCCAATAGAGGAGATGCTTTTCTGGCTGCGATTGTCAGGGTTGCCTAATTTTCTCAAACCATCGTTCTGCATCAGCTGGCCGACAATAGCTTCCAAATGAGGAGGAGGCATTGTGCCAGACGAGCCGACTGATACCGGGGCCGAGACTACAGATGATGGTCCACGGGAAGACGAGGGACCACTAGGCTGAGCCTGGTTACGACCACTTTCTGGGTTAATTCTACCTGAACCAGCACCGTCGCCATCCCCTAGTGATGGCAAGGCCGAAATGTGAGCCTGCGAGGGAATCAGTAGTTGTTCTATGTGATGTAGGGTTGCCATGGAAGTAGAGTCTTTCGTACCTGGGGCATGGGGTTGGGAAAGAAGTCTGTGCTCTTAGTAAATCTTGTTCTCCAACCTCGCTCTTTTTCCTCAACTGAAACGTGCCCCGTCTGCAACGGCATAGGAGTCACGCCTGGTTCTTGGACCTCCTGCCATGCAGTGCATTGCAGACAAGTCTTGATACAACGGTCAGCGGTCAGCGATGAATGATGATATCCGAATTATTGCAAGGCTCACCGGTTCTTCGCTCTTTCTCATCGATTTGCTGAACATGTCAATGGATTTAATCAACCCACAGAGCTCGCAGCGAATTTCTCCACGAAAACCAACAGAGTGCTCTATGCATGTCATGCCTGGATTCGCCGCATCGATACCGCCACGCAAAGACGCCTGTCTCTGTATAAGTTGCTGCTGGTTCTTGGAGAAGAACTGGAGCGATTTCCATTCGCCTCCAACCTTGCATCGATACCTGTAGTTGGTAAGCTGTGGCGCTGTGTCTTGCTTGAGCATGTGGTGGTTGCGTACCGTACAGGGAGCCCATGTTTCGATCCTCTGTAGCCAAAAAGGATTAGTCAAGATTCAGTCATAATCGAAGAAGGCCTGGAGCAAATATCCTTGTTGGTTGACGCAACATGAGAAAGGAAGATTTACTTACGGGCTTGGCTTGATATTGCTCTTCTCGTTCGGAGCCATGGTTAAGTCGATCCGCTTCGCGGCTCTAACTGGGGGGATGCTTCGCTGACAATTTCAACGAATGCAGTACTCAAGTAAAGTGAAATCCAGCAGAGTTGCAGAGGACGGTCGTTGCTTCCGTGTGGTGATGAGAGCAGAGGTCAGAGACCAGTCTCGGTGGTTGAGCCCGGTTTTGAAGGTGGTAGAGATGACAAAAAAGAGAGGAAAGGACACCAACCCGAGAGCTCGAGGTAAAGATTCGGCGGTCCCTTTGTGCATTACGTGAAAACCCGTTGCCGGCTGGCGACACTCGCAAACGAATACCGGGCAGGTGGCTCGTCCAAATTTTCTGCCATTTGGTCGCGACTTGGTCATGGAACTTTGCACTTAGCTTCTATAAACGTCCGGATGGCAAAACACCTGACACGGGCACCAGACGATTCCGAGAAGGCTTAAACGACTAGTTTGGCACAAGCTTTCAAGCAGCGCCCGGTCCAAAGACACAACCACAAACTCTCGGTAGCGTCATCACATCGGCTCGTGTTAATATGCTCTCTGTAACAACAGAGTTGGACGAATAGAACAGGCTCCCTGAAAAGCAATCATCACGCTGTCAGGTCCCGATCAAGCGTTCCGAGGTCGGCTGGTAAATGCATGATCGAAAGAATGAATCATAAATAATGCAGCCACTGATGGCATCATCTGACTAGGTGATTTAGACAAACAATTGGCAATGTTTGCTCCTGCGACTTGGAAATGGATTGAACACCTGTGATCTTCCTAGTCATTTCCGTTGCTTCAGAACTGCTTAGACCTCATTTTATCACGACAAGCTTGCCTGTGTCCGAGGAAACTCCCTCAGTGAGGACCGGAGCATCCACCTTCCGTTGACATCAACAGAGTAAGCAATCATATGGGTGAAATAAGATACCGGCCGGATCAAAGGGAGCGTTATCAGCTGCGAGGAGCGGTGAAGAAGGCGGGATCCAAGGGTAGGTCGATGCAAACTGCCATACTTTTACAGCCTTGAGCATAGGCCACGACCCGTTCCACTTCACGGTGCCTAATGGCATTCGCCTCAGTTGTCGATGGACGTGCCGCTCTTCTAGACGAGACTTGAAGCTTGAAACACGGGGGTTGTCAACAAATGTGGGTTTTTGGTCTGCCTTATGCCCAGATTCGGACTTGGACCATGCCAACTGGCTAAGCCAGAGCTAACTCTACGTGTCAGTCAACGTCATAGGAATACCTTTCACATCGGGCGACGGAAACTAACTCGGCGGAGAAGTTTTCTGAAACAACAGTTGCCCAGGCACTCTATAAAGACTTGCAACGAGTCATATAACCAATCCCCGTTTCAGAGATGAATGGTACTCCGCAGACTCATATCAGCTGGGCGACATCGTGTGTCACAGCAAATCACATATCTGATTTTCGCGCTCGGTACGAAGTACTTGGTCAGCACACATACGGAGTACGGCGTAGTACTCCGAAATAATTACTCTAGGGTTTTGCACAGAGCCAGGTGATAACAACCTGAATAGCCAACGCGGGGCGGAACCTGTCACTTTCATACAACTTTCTTGGAATGATAGAAGTATGATGTGTCAGCCACAAGATGCGCCAGAGGTGCATGCAGCCGCTGATCTTGCCTGCTTCTGACGGGCCCAAGCAATCACAGACCTAGGGAACTAGTACGCAATAAAAGGCGCACTCAAAATGTCTGGTCTGCTTCGCCAGCTGAATAGACAGCTTGACTGAAGTTGCCTTCCAGCGAGTTCGTTGACTAGAGGAGGCAGCAATGATCAAAGCGTGTTTACCTAGCAGTAAGCTTTTCGCCACCACGTGGGTGAGCAAACCGCATTCCTGACAACTCGCCGTTTTCACGAGCCGAAAGAGCACAGTGCTCTTATTGCTCCAAACCTTGCCTGTGTTTGCAATAGCTCATGTATGTTCCTTAAAGCTAACACTGGCAAGATTTTGGCGCAGTTTGGATAAGCGGTTAGACCAATGAAACATTTCCCTCAAGGTCTTGGAGATATCATGTGGCCACGAAAAGTTCAGACTGTTAGACTGTTAGACTGGCACTGGCTGGAGCTGGTCCTTTTGGGCATCACCGGCATCACCATGAGGCCACAACCTGCTACGGACAAAACAAGCTTGTGCCCACACGGACAACACAAGCCACGCTGCATGGATCTCAGTCCTGCTTCTTTCTTTCCGTTCTTGGACCAAGACGGCTTTTATCCTGGCATTGACAACACCTCAGCAAAGCTCACTACTACTATGGTTTTCGCGTTGGCGCTCTTTTTTAATAGGGCAGTTCTGAACTGGTCTTGTTCCCCTTCAGATCAATGCTAATGGCCATCACGCAGTTTTTGCCGATGTGTTCGAACGAAGCACACAAGGCATCGTCGGATAAGCCGGGTGGCATAGGCACCAGCAGGAATGTGCCAGAAGCTGGGCAACACGGAAGCACTGGCCACAAGCGCACCAGAGAGTCGGGAGGATAATTGTGCGAGCCCGCCGATCCGTGTTGCACTTGGACTCATTCCTGTTCTTCCACAGCTAGGGCTTAACCAGCAAGAAGCAAATTGCTTCCCCGCCCCTGGCAAGTGATGCAAATTGACCAATTTGACTGGCAGTGGAAAGGAAGTGATGAGCATGAGACTGCCGCTGCCAAAGTGCCTGACGACATAGTGTATCCTTGTCAGGGCCATTTCAGGGTCGCCCGGAAGCTCCGGCGAGATTGGTGAGAGCTTGCCTGTCAACTGCCTTGATATTAACACCTATACTACAGCCTCGCCCCTTTCGCATTTCTCACCTTGTAATTTTCGTCCGCTTTCATTTGAGTGGCCGCCAGCGCCGGAACTCTATTGTAACATAATACATACACAAGGGTACAAGTGTATGTGTGTACAAAGGTTGTGGCGCCCACACACATCGACGGTCATGGAGTTCTGGTACCCCTGGAATACTGGCGTCACCAATAAGACTGCTCATGACCCGTGCCTGGGCTCCTGGACCACACCCTTCTGGATCTGACAAGTCGGTCCATGTACGGAGTACAGTATGGCCAATGCTGGGGTGCATGCCTGTGCCTGACGGATACGCCAGCGCGGTGCTGTCGGTGAGCCAACTGCCAACGCAGCATGTAGGCTGGCTGGCTGCCACGAAGTGAGTGACCTTGGACTGGGCGTACGTATACATGTAAGCCAATGTATGACCGGATTTGACCTCACTTCGGCGGCTTCCTTCACGGAGTGTGAGCCACTGCAAACGGCAGGGCAATTCTTCGTCGAGGAACGGCATGACTTGCTAAGATCCCACCGTTGCCGTTGCAATATTCCAATTCTTTCGCGTTCATTCTCGTTTACCGAGTAGTACCAGTACCAGCGACAGACCCAGGGCATTGTCGAATCCACGGGCACTCATCCAGTATCTGGTGGCTGGCCCGTCCTCTCAATGCCTGACAATAAGTTCTCCGTATTTATTAACCACTCCCTGAGGGACATGAGTAGGGTATGCTTCACATGTTGAAAGTGTACTGCTACACACCATGTCGCACAGCTTGGTATGGAGAAACTAGTATGGCTACCCGCTAATACGGAGTTAGAAAGTACTCTGCATTATAAGGACCAAGCGCGCGGAGACGGGCCGTGGCGATTCCAGCGAGTTGGAACCCATGTTGCGTCGCCATGTTTCTCATGCTGCGGGTTCTTCATCTGCGACATGCATACGTATCAAAGGAAGGCAGCGCCCCCCTTGCCCGACCCATTGGTGCTGTTCGTGGCCTGCAGTAATACTACTTCGTGTTCTCGAGTCGGAAGGATGACGATGAGGAGGCGGGGACAAAGACGACACCTCCCAAAGGCCGTCTCATACGGTGTACAATACGGTGGGCAAGGAGGGCCCATTCCAGCCCCCGAGATTTTAGAAGAGAACCGGCGACGCGATTTCTCGCCGTGTGATGATTGTCACGCCATGGTAGCAGCAACGGATGGCACAGTACCTCTGACTCCAGGACATACGGAGTACCTGAAAGTACCTACCTGTAGCCACCCAGGTATCCGTCCAGCATAACGTTAATGCAAGTGGGCTCAATGTTCTCTGGTAGAGTTTACAAAGAGTAGAGTCCGTGTGCTGGTGTCAAACGAGTGTGTCAAACAACAATCAACAGGTCAAATTTTCACTCTGTGCTGAAGGCGTCGCCGTGCCCTGCAATGTCAAGTTCCTCTCTGAAATTGGAGAAAAAGCTGGACTCGGTCGGTATTCCGTATCAGGACCCTTTTCTCCACGACGCTGGGTCCTCGTCAACTCGTCTCCTGATGCTCAAGCCGCGGGGCCTGCCAGTCTCTTCATCTCTTCATCTCTCTTCACGTCTCCGGGGACGAGGGACGAGGGACCACCAGACCGCGACGCCCCCTGTGAGGCCGCCCTGGGCACGCCCTATTAGCACGCCTCGTGGTTGCTCTCCTCGCTCCCCTGCGCGCCGCCGCCCCACTGGCGCCAATTCAGGTCCCGATCCTCCCTCGGCCCTCTTTTCAGCCATTGAATGGCTGGTTGACCACGGAAACCAGGCCACAGTTCACCTGGACACTCGTGCACTGGACGCCGGCCAGCTCCCGCTGGACTCAAGTGCCACCACCAGACAGCACTAGTAGCCGTGTGGTGTCTCTTGGCCTCCTGGCCCTCGACCATTTCCACCAGACTGCTTCTCCCCTTCCCGCCGTTTGGCTCATTGTCAACTGCGCCTGGGACTGGGTCCATGTCCAGTCCTTTACTCTTTTCACCTCTCCCCTTTCCAATCAACCGCAGTGTTTTGCGTGGCCTGCTTGCGTCTTAATCATTCACTCATTTTTATTTGAATTTTTCTTTTCCCGCATTGCTCCCTGTGTGGCTTAAACCTCAGCTTGCCTTTCCCGGCAGTTGGTGCGTGCGCTCAGAGTAGCCAGAAGAAAAGAAGAAAAAAAAAGAGGTCCCCGGCAGCATTCGCCTGTCAGTATCACCAAAAAGCATTA